CAACTTATTACCCCCTTCTCCACCAAGGTAACCAATGAATGTTAACACCTTCGTGTGTATTTTTCTACATGTTTCTATGTTCATATAAACATCCACATGCATATATACACACACAGGAGTTTTCACTTTTTTAAAAAATAGAATTGTATACATTATTATGAAATTTTCCCTTTTCACTTAACAATATATACCATGAACATCCCCACAAATTAGCAAAATTCTAGCTCCCCCATCCCCAGCCAAATTTACTAACTCACACATTTGTGGTATCACAAACAATTTTTCTTTTTTGGTTTTCCTTTTCCCTACACCCCTGACTCCCCCATATCCTACCTGCATTACCCACCTCCCTCCAAGTCAGTGCATACTCTTCTACACTTTTCTTCATGCACATAAAATCAAATAAACATATATAGATACCGCTTATTGCTGATAAACACCTAGAGACATTTTGTTAATGATTTACAAAAATGGAGTCATATTTAACACACTTAATATCTACCTTGCATTTTTCACTCAGGAGAACATTGTGGAATTCCACTCAAGTCCACTAGCATAGTTTTAATTTGTGGCTATATTAACATTCTATGGAATGGATATACTATAGTTCTTTCCTTTCTCCAATTTCCCAATTGATGGGTATTTACTTTGATTCTAGTGTTTGCTTTGGTTTTGGGTGTTTATTTTGCCATTAGAAACAACTTTACAGTAAACGTCCATGTTCACATGTTCATCTGTCTTTTATGTATTGGGGCTTTTATTTCTAAGGGAAGATTCCCCAAAGTGACATAAGTATTTTAATAATATTTAATAATATTAACAGATTTCTTTTTTTTGTTTGTTTGTTTTTGAGATGGAATCGTGTTCTGTTACCCAGGTTGGAGTGCAATGGCACAATCTCGGCTCACTGCAACCTCTGCCTCCCGGGTTCAAGTGATTCTCCTGCCTCAGCCTCCCGAGTAGCTGGGATCACAGGCACCTGCCATCATGCCCGGCTAATTTTTGTATTTTTAGTAGAGAAGGGTTTTCACCATGCTGGCCAGGCTGTTCTTGAACTCCTGACCTCAGGCAATCTGCCTGCCTCGGCCTCTCAAAGTGCTAGGATTACAGGCTTGAGCCACCGTGCCCAGCCTAAATATTACCAGATTTCTTTCCAAAAGAGTAACTTGCATTGTTTTTCAAAATTTATTTCTCCACCAGCAGTGTATAACATCTTTTGTTCTGATAGCTAAAAATGCTGTCACATAGTGTTATTTGATTTTAACTTTAAATCTGCATCCCCCAGTGACTACTGAGGATAAACATTTTTGGACAGGTCCATCGGCCACTTAGATTTGCTCTTCTCACAATTGTTGCCTCATATTCTTTGCCACGTTTTGCTATTGGGATTTTCCCTGTCCATTTGGTGACTGCCTTCTCTCTGATCAGCTCTACAAATATTTCCCCACAATCTATTATCTCTTGAGTTTGTTGATGGCATCTTTTGTCACCCAAAAGATTGTACCTTTTACGTAGTCAAATGTTTATTTCCTTTTTTCTTTTGCTTTTTTTCTTTTTTTTTGAGATGGAGTCTTGCTCTGTTGCCCAGGCTGGAGTGCAGTGGTGCAATCTTAGCTCACTTCAACCCCTGCCTTCTGGGTTCAAGTGATTCTCCTGCCTCAGCCTCCCACGTAGCTGGGACTACAGGCATGTGCCACCACACCCAGATAATTTTTGTATTTTTAGTGGAGATGGGGGTTTCACCATGTTCACAAGACTAGTCTTGAACTCCTAACCTCAGGTGATCCGCCTGCCTCAGCCTCCCAAAGTGTTGGGATTACAGGCATAAGCCACCACGCTCAGCCTTCAAATGCTTATTTCTAAATAGCTTCTGAGTGTCCTGTGTTGGTAATCTCTCCCAACTCCTAGATTGTACATGTAGGTTCCTTTGATTTTAAGAATTCTGTTGCTTTAAAATGTTACGTCTTAAATCCACCCAGAATTTATTTTTGTGCTGTTAATCCAAATTTTCTTCCTTTAATATTAAAAGCTTCTTGTTCCAGAATTCTTTTTAAGTAAACTACTCTTTTCCCCTATGGTTTGAGATTCTACCTTTTTCACATATGAGAAAGTTCATATATATCAAAGTCTATTTCTGAATTTTCTACTGTGTTCTAATGATGTATTTACCTGTTCCTTTGCCAATACAATATTAATTTCATTAGAATGACTTCATGTTGTCTTCTGGTATCTAGCATGGCATTTAAAATTTTTTAAATTATTATGGATATATAATTGTTATATATATTTATTGGGTACATGAGATGTTTTGATACATGGTATGACTTTTTTCCTATTTTTTTCTCAACGATTCTCAAAAAAAAAATCATTGAGATTTAGTCTAATTCCAAAAAAAGTACATATAAATTATTACATGTTTCTTGTCAGTATGGAGAAAGGCTCTTGATTTTGGTATCCTGCCTTCTTAAAAAGTTAGCTCAAAAAATAATTAGAGTCTTTTCATTTATTGGTGTACAACCATATCACCAGTAAAAATGGATAGTTTCACCTTTTCTGCTGTTTATACCAATTCATTTCTTTTTATTGCCTTCACTGGAATCTCTAAGACAATGTTGAATTCCTGATTTTTAAAGATGGCTTTGGCATAATACATGCTTTGGGGTTTGGGTTAATTTTTTTTTTTTTTTTAAGAAAAACCTCTTTAAGTGGTTACCATCTATTACATATTAACACATTCCATGAAATGCCTTCTCAGTATCTGTTGAAAGTTCATATGATTCTTCTTCTTTAAGTTGTTAATTTGATTGATGTGTTTCCTATTCCTGAACTGGCTTGACATTCTTGGGATGACTCTTACTATGTCATTCTTTGGGTATATGGCTGAATTCTATTTGCCAGTATTTTAATTATAATTTTTGTTTCTATATTCATGAGTAAGACTGGTCTGAAGTTTTCTTTTTTCTTTTTCTTTTTTTTTTTTGACAGAGTTTTGCTCTTGTTGCCCAGGCTGGATGGCACGATCTTGGCTCACTGCAACCTCTGCCTCCTGGGTTCAAGCGACTCTCCTGCCTCAGCCTCCCAAGTAGCTGGGACTACAGGCGTGTGACACCACACCTGGCTAATTGTTGTATTTTTAGTAGAGACGGGGTTTCACCATCTTGGCCAGGCTGGTCTCGAACTCCTGACCTCACGATCCACCTGCCTCAGCCTCCCAAAGTGCTGGGGTTACAGGCATGAGCCACTGCACCTGGCAGAAGTTTTCTTTTTTTCAACTATCTGTATTTGATTTTGGTGTTAAAACTTATTTTGACTTAATAAAATAAATGAGGAGTATAGTTTATGGATTATATTATATCCATATAATAAATAACACTGGTATTACTCTTTCTTTAAAAGATAGATAGAACTAAGCATGAACTCTTCTGAGCCTGGAGCATTTTCCCATTATAGATCTTTAATAGCTTTTTTTGAGTTTTTCAATGGTAATTATTCTACCAAATTTTCTACTTCTTATTGCAGTCTTCATAATTTAAAGTTTATTAGAAAAGCATCCGCCTCCTCTGTTTAAAAAATATGTTGATTAGAATTGTATGAGTTATCTTTTTATCACTTAAAAAGTCATATTGATATCTGTGGTTATGTCTCCTTTCTCATTCTGGATCAGGCAGTCTTGCATGGAGGCAAATCTTGAAAAATGTAGATTCCACATGGCCATTTATTTTCTTACATGGATGACATGGCAACTCAGGGAGGCAGTCTTCTTTCCAAACATTGAAATAATGAAGACCTTGGGATTTAGTGTCCAGGACACTTGCAAGGAAATATAAATGAAAAAAAAAAGAATATTCTTGAATTAATTTGCAGAAGAATAGAGAGAAAAGAAATTCTCCTTCAGTGGTCTATGCATGAAACATTTCTGAGTTATACAAACTGCATATAGAATAGTGTTATCTATGCTACTAATTTGCTACAAGACATTTTAAGCAAGACTAAGAAAATATGAACAGTGTACTGTATACCAGGGTGACACTACATTTTGTCAAATAGTTTACAGTGTTTCATTTACCCAATATCAGGTTCTTAAACTGTTCCTTAGCTTGCATTTTTAACATAAATAACTACATTTTGGTAAAGTTTTTGGCCAAATTATCAAAATACATTTAAAAACACTGCAGAGGACAATAACAACCTCTATAGCCATTTACGTGTATTACAAAAAGTGGAAAAATGTAGCTGGTATAATAAGGTTCTTTTAAAGATAGTGGGCCATGTCGTTGTTGTTATTTTTTTTTTGTATTGTTAAGACATTAAAAGACAATGATATTTAAAGTGGAAAAGTTTTCTGAATGGCATTCTATATATTGTGTGACATGTGTCTGCTATTCAGATTTTATGTTAATTTCACATTTACAACTCCAAAATACAAATAGTGCTGATTGTATGGCTCACTGTGGAATATACCAGAGTATGCCTTTAAGACTCTTCAGAGATATTTTGTTTTCTGTTGTTATTCCATTTAATACATTTTTAAACATTTACATGCCAGGGTGACCATGCTTATGTTTTATAAAGTATTTTCCAGAAAAGTTTGTATCACAATTAGATCATGATTTCCATTATGATAAAACACTGTCAGTTGGGTGTGGTGGCTCACATCTGTAATCCCAGCACTTTGGAAGGCCGAGGCAGGCGGATCACGAGGTCAGGAGTTTGAGACCAGCCTGGCCAACATGGTGAAACCCCATCTCTACTAAAAATACAAAAATCAGCCAGGTGTGGTGGCAGGTGCCTGTAATCCCAGCTACTTGGGAGACAGAGGCAGGAGAATTGCTTGAACCTGGGAGGCGGAGGTTGCAGTGAGCCAAGATAGTGCCATTGCACTCCAGCCTGGGAAACAGAGAGAGAATCCAACTCAAAAAAAAAAAAAGCAAACACACATATACACTGTCCAAATTCATTAAAATGAATTCATTAAGATTTCTCCTAAGGATAGATTCCCTACATACCATGAAACCAGATATTTTGCTCAAGTATTTCCCACAATTATTAAGTTTTCATTCCTGTAGGCATTCTTCCGAGCATGAATTTTCTGATGTCTGCTGAGGTTTGGCTTCTGGTAGAAAGCTTTCCCACATTCATTGCACCCATAGGGCTTCTCTCCTGTGTGAGTTCTCCAATGTTTATTGAGGCAGGACTTCTGGCTGAAGGATTTTCCACATTCTCTGCAACGATAGGGTCTTTCTCCCGTGTGCATTTTTCGATGTACATTGAGGTATGACTTCTCACCAAACGATTTCCCGCATTCACTGCAGACAAAGGGTCTCTCTCCTGTATGTGTTCTCTGATGTTCTGTGCGGTGTGACTTCTGGGTAAAGGCTTTCCCACAAAAGAAACATTCAAAGGGTCTTACCCCAGTGTGAATTCTCTGGTGTTTGATGAGGGTTGACTTATGTGAAAAGGCTTTCCCACAGTCAGTGCAGCCATAAGGCTTCTCCCCAGTGTGACTTCTCTGATGCCTAATGAATTCAGACTTGTAGCAGAAGGCTTTCCCACACTCACTACAGACGTGGGGTTTTTCTGTAGGTGGAACCCTCTTCCGTTTGTACACGAGAGAATCACTTACTGCTGGTTTATACGTAAGTGCCGGGTTCTGGGTGAAAGCTTTCTCACAGTGACTGCAACCCCAGGGCTTTTCTCCATTCGGTCGTCTACCATGGTGTATACGCTGAAGCAATTTCTCATAACCATAACACTCATCTTGCTTTTTTGCACAGTTTCTCTTAAAACCAATCAAGTCTAAATTATGGTTCAAATTCTTTCCACAAGGGTTCCAGTTGTTAGGGCTCTGGATTGAAGAAAAAAGGTCAGTGCTCAGAAGTGATATTTTCCCAAACTTACTATATTCATGGCTTTTTTCCTTGGGCAGTGTTTTCTTGCTTATGGCTGCGCCTTGCCTCAAAAGCATGTCTTGCCGTCTTTTCCTCTGGATATTAACTTGCCAGATGTCTTCTGGAGAAAGTACAGTGAATCATCCTTATGAAACTTCATACAACTTGAGAAATGCTCTCAAAATTTAAAGAGTGCACAGCACACAAATAGAGAACGTGAACCATAACCCAAAGCACAAACGCGGGGAAGAGTGTTCTATGAGGAAAGAGGATTCTGAACACTGGCACAAATGGAATACAATGTACCATAGAGTATAGAGACCAATAATTTCAAAGAAAACAGGATATTACAGAGCAGAGGGTGGCAAACTTATTCTTAAGGGGTCAGAAAGTAAAGGCTTTGTGGGCCATATGGTCTCCGTCGCAATGACTCAACTCTCCCACCTTACCGTGAAAATATAGACGATACGTAAACATAAGAATGTGGCTGTGTTCTAACAAAACTTTATTCACAAAGCAGGTGGCCAATCGGCAGGCCATAGTTTGCTGATCGCTGTTATAGAAGAAAGAAGGTGAACTGTTACACAGTACCTTGCTGTCCGGCATGTGGGTTTTCAAGTGGCAATTTTGGCCTTACTTGGAGCTTGTTAGATGTGTAGAATCTGAGGCCCCACCCCAGACCTACTTAATCAGAATCTGCATTTTAACAAGATGCCCGGGTGATTCCAAACACCTTGGAGTTTAACAAGCACTGGTATAGCGGTCATCCAAGGGTGTATCATATTGGGCTAGTTAGTTACAATATAAATGGCAAAGCACTCTAAGGCGAACCAGATTAAAAAATAAAGTCAACAAAGCTAACTAAAACTTAAGCAAGAGTTCTTAACTTGGTAGGCAGAAATCAGCGGGCTTATGAACTTTGATAGAAATTACATTTTTGTTTTCACTGAGTTCCAACTACAGTTGAACAATTCCTTTGACTATGAATGTAAGCAACAAAACACAGTAGTATCAGCACTTCCTGTGACTTGATACTAGTTTGTGAATATTGTTATTTTCAGGTCACATTATTATATTTATAATCATCTCTTCTTTGAGATCATGATAGTTATTAGACCTGATGTTAGGTCTCATTAATGTATAAATAAAAAAGTACATGTACTATTATATTGCACATTTTGAAAACATTTTGAAGCCGGACATGGTGGCTCACACCTGTAATCCCAGCACTTTGGGAGGCCAAGGCAGGTGGATCATCTGAGGTCAGGAGTCAGAGAACAGCCTGACCAACATGGTGAAACCCAGTCTCTACTAAAAATACAAAATAAGCTGAGTGTAGTGGCACATGCCTATAGTCCCAGCTACCCAGGAGGCTGAGGCAGGAGAATCGCTTGAACCCAGGAGGTGGAGGCTGCAGTGAGCCAAGATCACGCCATCGCACTCCGGCCTGGGTAACAGAGCAAAACTCCATCTAAAAAGAAAAAAAAAGAAGAAAATATTTTGATAACTATTTTCTATAATCTTATGAATTTTATTGTATTTTTATACATAGAAGTGAGGTCTACAGCCTTCAAAAGAATGCCTAAGAAGTCCATGGCACAAAAATAATTAGTAACCCCTCACTTAAAGATATTCAGTCATGAGATAATCTAGGTCTGATTTTAGGAGATATCAGTGGAAAATTAAAAGTGGGACCAGGCGCGATGGCTCACGCCAGTAATCCCAGCACTTTGGGAGGCTAAGGTGGGTGGATCATGAAGTCAGGAGATCAAGACCAGCCTGGCCAAGATGGTGAAACCCCATCTCTACTAAAAATACAAAAATTAGCCGGGCGTGGTGGCATGTGCCTGTAATCCCAGCTACTGGGGAGGCTGAGGGAGAACTGCTTAAACCCAGGAGGCGGAGGTTGCAGTTAGCTGAGATGGCGCCACTGCACTCCAGCCTGCGCGACAGAACGAAATTTCATCTGCAAAAAAAAAAAAAAGTGGAGAAGGACTGGGCATGGTGGCTCATGCCAGTATTTCCAGCACTTTGGGAGGCTGAAGCAGGTGAACTGCTTGAGCCCAAGAGTTTGAGACCAGCCTCAGCGGCATTGCAAAACCTCTTCTCTACAAAAAAATATGAAAACTAGCCAGGTGTGGTAGCGCGAATGTAATCCCAGTTACTTGGGAGGTTAAGAGGTGGAAGGATCGCTTGAGCCCGGGAGGTCGAGGCTGCAGTGAGCCATGATCATGCCACTGCACTCCAGCCTGGGTGACAGAGTGAGACCCTGTCTCAAAAAGAAAAAAAAAAAAAAAAGGCAGTGAGGAAGATTTAAAGCCATTTCTCAGAAGAAAAAAAAAAATCAACAAAACCACACATATGAATGGAACAGTTAGAGTGAGTGGTAAAGGCAGAAGATTCAAAATGACCACACGGTAGCAAAGCTCTGAAATAAAAAGCAAGATGAAGTGGTGTGTGTGTGTGCGTGTGTGTGTGTGAGGGTGAGTGTGTGGCAGGGGTACCAAGGACAAATGAAGATGATTTTCGTTTTTGACACACAAAGAACAGGGGAAGTGCACACCTGTAGTGTAGTCCACAGACTGGTTAAATGTGGGGCTGGGCAGAGCAAGGGGGAGAAAGGGGCCAACACGGCAAAGAGGCTGGTTGTGAGAATCATGTACTCTCAGAATGGGTGAGTTCTTTGAGAGGGTTACACCACTGGAAAGAGAACCAAGTTATGGAAGACAGAAAATGCAATAGTTCCTTGGAAGGAAAATGCTGGGTTTGAGCCAGGGAAATAGATAATAACAGAGCAGTTGGAAAAACAGAGGCTGACTAGATACATTCTTGTGGAATTTACAGTTATGAAATTTTCAGAAGAGGAGAAAAAAAGAAAAGCAGGGCAACTGATAACCAGGATACCAGTCTCAGGACGGCTGAAGAGCACACTTTAATGGAGAAACACACGCCAGAGCGCGCCAGAAGCAGAAGTTCCGAGGCATCCCTAAGAGTGGCCATCCATCAACCCTCAGGGTACCATGGGCATTGCTGGAATGTCTCAGAGCTGAAGGGAGAGGGGCAGTGAGTCTGAGTGTTAGTCAGCAGTGGTTAAGATGGGCCCAGCTCAGGCATTTCCTTCACACCTCCCCACCCCAACATGGAATTCACCGCTTCCTCTTCTCTGATCCCACAGTCATCTGTCTATGGGAGTGATTTAAATTTGAGTGCAGAAATTAGGGAAAGCAGGTAGCTCTGAAGCATTTCATCTGGAAAGTGTCAGAACGCAGAATAGGAAGCAGGAACAGGAGAATCATAGAAGCTTTTATTTGTAAGAATACCTGCATGTGAAAGATTCTGGAGAAAGAGAGATGGACCGAGCACATAAGGACAGAGGTGCAATCAAGTAGAGCTGAGAAAAACACTCAGATTCAGGCGTTGGGGTTTCATGGAGGTTAAAGAGGCATTAATGTGGCTGAAGTTCTTGGAGGAATGTCAAGGCTTTTAAGAGAAGAACGCTGAACAAAATTCCAAAGGTGCCAGCCTCCTTCAGTACCCCTTTTGCTAGATTTATTACACTTACCCCAACAGTGGCAGCCCGGGCATGCTGCCTCACCAATCCATGGTGCTTCTTCCTGCTCCAGCCTGAGGATCACATCTGGTTTGGTGCCTTCATAACCTGTTCCAGGGAAATGATCCAGGCCTTGGAGTGAGCTCCTTGGTCTTCAGGGCCTCTCAGGCAGCTTTAAAGGCTGCACAACAGATGTTATACTTGGGAGGGGACTAAACACACACCTTGTCCAGAACCAAATGGAATTAGTAATCCAGGACCACGGAAACTCAAGCCATACCCACTGAGGCAGCAGCACAGGGTAAGAATGCATTCTGTGCCGCCAGAACACTGAGGTTCAAATCCTGACTCTGTTATCTACTAGCTGGGTGACTCTGGGCAAGTTACTTCACCTTTCTGTACCTCAATTTCCTGTAAAAAAGTGGTACTAATAGTAATTACCTCATAAGGCTTTTATGAGGATGAAATGAGTTAATATTTTTAAAGTGGCTAAAACAGTTTCTGGCACATAGAAAGTGCTAGATAATTATTAAATAAATAATTATTTAATTATTTAATAATTCAGAGGTTCTAGGTACTTCAGTTGCTTTTTTTTTTTTTTTTTTTTTTTTTTTTTTTTTTTTTGAGACAGAATTTCACTCTTGTTGCCCAGGCTGGAAGGCAATGGTGTGATCTCAGCTCACTGCAACCTCCACCTCCCAGGTTCTCCTGCCTCAGTCTCCCAAGTAGCTGGGATTACAGGCACCTGCTTCCACACCCAGCTAATTTTTGTATTTTTAGTAGAGACAGGGTTCACCATGTTGGCCAGGCTGGTTTCAAACTCCTGACATCAGGAGATCCACCTGCCTTGGCCTCCCAAAGTACTCCAGTTGCTTTTAGCAACTGAGAAAGGAAAGGTGGTCATTTGAACATAATCTGCATTATATGGTGAAGATGTTCTTACCCACTGAGACGAGGTTGCTATAGGTTTCCAGCATCACATCCCGGTACAGGGCCCTTTGAGCAGGACTCAGCCGGTGCCACTCCTCTTGGGTGAAGCCCACAACTACATCTTTGAATGACACAGGTGTCTGTTGAAACAAAAATGACATTGAGTCATGTAGAAAAAAATGTTTGTGCATGGCCAGGCATGGTGGCTCATGCCTGTAATCCCAGCACTTTGGGAGGCCAAGGCAGGAGGATCAGGAGTTCAAGACCAGCCTGGCAAACATGGTGAAACCCCATCTATACTGAAAATATAGCCAGGCATGGTGATGCACACTTGTAATCACAGCTGCTTGGGAGGCTGAGGTGGGAGAATCACTTGAACCTAAGAGGCGGAGGTTGCAGTGAGCCGAGATCGCACCACTGTACTCTAGCTTGGGCTATAGAGCAAGACTCCATCTCAAAAAAGAAAAGAAAAAGAAAAAAAGTTTGTGCAAGAGATGGTGCTGATTTCCATAATGTTTATAAGTTAGAGCTTATTATCTATCTGGAAGGTCTTTTATATTCTTGGCTTTGTGTTATATATGGTGGGGAAAACGAAAATCACATTGGAAGCTATCTACCGTTGCCATTCATACTTTGAGTCAACAAAAATTGAAGACCTACTGTGTGTTGCTGGGATCACAATCATAGATGGGTCCTGACCTCAAGAAGCTCACTGTCTGGCACAGAAAGAGCAACATGTAAAGCCATCAGGGTAAAAGTGTCACAAGAGCTGTGATGGCAGGACATCTAGGCTATGGCATACAGAGAAGCAAATGGTCTGTTAAATTTTTTAGGGTCCGGTTAGGCTTCAGAGCCCAGGGATATGGAAAGCTGAGTCTCCCCAGGAAGACGGAAAACTGCATTCTATGCAGGGGAGCAGTGGGAACAAAGACTGGGGGGCAAAACGGCGATTTTAGGGGTGGCAAGTTACCTTGTAACAAGAGAAAAGCATGTAGAGGTCGGCCAGCAATGAAATGATGTGCTTTAGGGCCGGGCGTGGTGGCTTACCCCTGTAATCCCAGCACTTTAGGAGGCTGAGATGGGTGGATCACCTGAGGTCAGGTGTTCAAGACAAGCGTGGCCAACATGGTGAAACCCCATCTCTACTAAAAATAGAAAAATTAGCCGGACATGGTGGCGGGTGCCTGTAGTCTCAGCTACTCAGGAGGCTAAGGCAGGAGAATCGCTAGAACCCGGGAAGCAGAGGTTGCAGTGAGCTGAGATTGTGCCATTGCACTCCAGCCTGGAGGCCAGGCCGAGACTCCGACTCAAAAAAAAAAAAAAAGAAAGAAATTATGGACTTTAGGACAATGGAAACCCTATCCAAGAAGAAGTGTATGCAGAAAGCATATTCTAGAAGGCATGAGGTGAGCTTCTTGCATTCTATGTGAAGTGGTATAATGATAACTCTAAATAAACTGTGAAAAGTTAAAGACATATATTGTATCCCTAGAGTAACCACTAAATCATAATGAGAGGTGTACCTGATATAAACAAACAGAATTCTGAAAACTGTTCCATTCATCCACAATAGCACAACAAAAGAGAGGAAAGAAGAAATAGAGGAACAAAAGAGTAGATGGGATAAATAGAAAACAGACATGAAAATGACAGATATAAATCCTACTATACCAATAATGTAATTTAATAAACATTAAATGTAATATAATTTAATATAAGACTGAACACTCCAGGCCAGGCACGGTGGCTCATGACTGTAATCCAAGTACTTCAGGAGGCTGAGGCAGGAGAATCGCTTGAAGCTGGGAGGCAGAAGATTCAGTGAGCCCAGAAAGTGCCACTGCACTCTACCCTGGGTAATAAAATGAGACTCTGTCTCAAAAAAAAAAAGACTAAACACTCCAAAAAGGCAGAGATCGTCAGACTGAAAAAAAAAAAAAATGCTGCCTACAAGAGATGCACTTTCAATGTAAACTCACAGGCAGTTTTAAAGCCAATGGATGGAAAGAGAAGTGTGGTGGGTGACCTGGAGGGAAGTGAGAGGAAAGACCCTATAGTAACCTGTGTGAAAGGTGATGTTCACAAGCAGGACAGTAACCATTAGAGAAAGATAGAACGCTGTAACGAAGAGCAGACCCCATTCTGCATGGGGTGGTTATTTCACGTTGCATGATGCCTGTACCAAAACATGTTGCCATAAATACACACACCTACTATGTAGCCACAAAAAATTTTTTTAAAATTAAAACAACAAAACAAAAAAAGGAGAGCAAAAAAAGGAGAGGTGGCGGGCGCCTGTAGTCCCAGCTGCTCAGGAGGCTGAGGCAGGAGAGTGGCGTGAACCCGGGAGGCAGAGCTTGCAGTGAGCCGAGATCGCGCCACTGCACTCTAGCCTAGGCGACAGAGTGAGACTCCGTCTCAAAAAAAAAAAAAAAGGAAAAAAGAACTGATAGCCCTGGAGATCCTGGCATAAGTTGTGAAGGAGCAGGACAGTCACTGAGGGAGACCCATGGGTACCAGCCTAGGAAGGTCCTGGTGATCCTGTCTTGAAGTGACTGTGTGGTAAAGAATTTGACCTTGCCAAAAGAGAGGTGTGGCCTTTGCCCTCAGCTCCTGGGAAGTAATCTCTATACTCTTGGAATGTCCTCAGAGTGTCCTTGTTTACCTATTGGCCTTGGGCCACACTAGATAGTCTAATGATGTGGCTTATAATGAGGGCTTTAGGTCACAGGTATCAGCTCAACCTCTTGGAAGGGCTGGAAACTGAGGTCAGCAGTGGGAACAGTCAAGCCTTTCTACATGATCAACCACCAATAAAAAGTGGACACCAGGGCTTAGGTGCACTTTCCTGGTTGGCAAGGCTCCATGTGTATTGGCACACGTTACTGCTGGGAGGATTTAGCACTGTTTTGGGCTCCCTTCGGAGAGGACAGAAGTTCTATATGTGGAACTCTCCTAAACTCTAATTCATCGGCCTCTTCTCTTGGTTGATTTTACTTAATTAATTAATTAATTTTGAGACGGAGTCTTGCTGTGTTGCCCAGGCTGGAGTGCAGTGGCGCAATCTCGGCTAACTACAACCTCCATCTCCTGGGCTCAAGAGATTCTCCTGCCTCAGACTCCCGAGTAGCTGGGAATACAGGCACGCGCCACCATGCCCAGCTAATTTTTGTATTTTTTTTTAGTAGAGACAGGGTTTCACCGTGTTGGCCAGGCTGGTCTCAAACTCCTGACCTCAGGTGATCCAACTGCCTTGGCCTCCCAAAGTGCTGGGATTACAGGTGTGAGCTACCGCTAGCGGCCAGCTTAAAATCTTTCTGAGAATTATCCTTGGACAAAGGGTACTGTGCCATCCAAGGATATCTACCCTCCTGAGGCAGCCTACAATCAATGATTAGTTGATTTCAGAATATAAAAGCCTCCTTGCCTCCATTCACAACAATGCTGAAGGCCATCCCAGCTCTAGAGTATAAGATTCGCTGAGGCCTCTGTTCAACAACTCCCTCAGCTCAATCCAGCTTCCCTCACTGCCTTACAGGGGTTCTAAGAGCCTGCCTAATAAACCTCCGGTGAGAAAAATCTCCATCTATGAGTCAGCTTCCCTGAGAACCCAGCCAGTATGTACAAACTGTACATACTTACAATGCATACTTTTTTTTTTTCTAGGACAGTTTCCCCAGGAAGGAAAACTGGGTTACTTAATGTGATACTCACCTGGTACTCGATCATTTTCTGCTGTTCTTGGAAAAAGATCTGACACCTGTAGACATGTGGGGGGAAGAAGATGGAGAAAGAGAACAGAGTGTAAGGGACTAGGCCTGTCTTAGAAATTGCAAATTTCCTTTGTAAATCTTGTACAAAAATCCATGCTTTTAGCTGGGTGTGGTGGCTCACACCTTATTTGAGGCCAGGAGCTAGAGACCAGCCTGGACAATATGGCAAAATGCTGTCTCTACAAAAAAAGAGAAAAAATTAGCCAGGCATGGTGTTGCACACCTGTAGTCCCAGCTATCCAGGAGGCTGAGGTGGGGGATCACTTGAGCCTAGGAGGTCAAAGCTGCAGTGAGCCATGATCCTACTACTGCAATCTGGCCTGGGTAACAGAGTAAGACCCTGTCTCAAAAATTAAATAATAAATAAACAAACAAATAAATATCCTTTATCTCTTACTTGTTTCAAATAATTTGAAATATTGTACAGGTCATAAAGCGTAGACCATAAAGCATGGTTGCCATAGTATCTAAATGCCCCACACCCCAAGACATTTAATGATTATAAAAGGAAAAGAAGTAACTTTTTCTTGGAAAAACTTGGCAGTATCGCTTAGTCAAGTGATCAGTTAACATGACCAGTAATGAGATATAAGACATCATGTGCCTTCTGATATAATGCACTGTGAAGGGTACAACATCCCTTCTGTGGTATTCACACCCCAAATGCATACCTGAACCTAATCAATGAAGAGAGACATCAGACAAAACCATACTGAGTTACAATATAAAAAATAACCTACCTATACTCTTCAAAAATCTCGACTTCATGGAATATGAAGACCGAGAAACTGCTCCTGATTAAAGGAGACTAAAGGGATGTGTCACCTGAAGGCAGCATATGATCCTGGATTGGATCCTGGGATGGAAAAAGAAAAGTTGCTATAGGGCCAGGCACAGTGGCTCACGCCTGTAATCCCAGCACTTTGGGAGGCCGAGGTGCGTGGATCGCCTGAGGTCAGGAGTTTGAGACCAGCCTGGCCAAGGTGGTGAAACCCCGTCTCTACTAAAACTACACAAATTAGCCAGGCATGGTGGCAGGCGCCTCTAATCCCAGCTACTCAGGAGCCTGAGGCAGGAGAATCATTTGAACCCAGAAGGCAGAGGTTGCAGTGAGCTGAGATCACGCCATTGCACTCCAGCCTGGGTGACAAGAGTGAGACTTGGTCTCAAAAAAAAAAAAAAAGAAAAGTTGCTATAAAGTGACAGTTGACATCTGGTTGTAGACTGGATTAGTCTAGTCTATATTCTGTATTAGTCTAGTTATCATGATTATTAAATCATTATAACACTGACTTAGTAATAAGTGTTAATTGCCTGGTTCTGAAAAGTACCAGTTATATAAGAAAATGTTCTCATTCTTAGGAAATATACCCTGAAGTACTTATGGGTAAAGGAGCATCATGTCCGCAAGTTAGTGTTAAGTGGTTAAAGAAAAGAAAGAATAAGAATGATATATTTATGATATAACATAATCATCTATATACATATATATTTGTATATAGAAAGACAGCACATGTAAACATGGCTTTATATAGATGAACCTAGGTAAGGAATACATAGGAGACCACAGTAATATTCTTGCTTTTTTTTGGAAAAAAATTTCCAAATAAAATGTTTAGTTAAAAACAAAAGGCTGGGTGCGGTGGCTTACCCCTGTAATCCCAGCACTTTGGGAGGCTGAGGCAGGTGGATAACCTGAGGTCGGGAGTTTCAGATAAGCATGACCAACATAGTGAAACCCCATCTCTACTAAAAGTACAAAATTAGCCGAGTGTGGTGATGTGTGCCTATAATCCCAGCCACTTGGGAGGCTGAGGCAGGAGAATCCCTTGAACCCAGGAGGCGGAGGCTGCAGTGAGCTGCGATCGCGCCATTGCACTCCAGCCTGGGCAACAACAGTGAAACTCCATCTCAAAAAAAAAAAAAAAAAACTGGTCATGCACGGTGATTCATGCCCGTAATCCCAGCACTTTGGGAGGCCGAGGTGGGCGGATCGCTTGAGGTCAGGAGTTCGAGAACAACCTGGTCAACATGGTGAAACTCTGTCTCTACTAAAAATACAAAAATTAGCCGGGCATGGTGGTGCATGTCTGTAATTCAGAGATTGTGCCATTGTACTCCAGCCTGGGTGACAAGAGTGAAACTCCGTCTCAAAAAACAAAACAAAACAAAATTATATACAGTAGGCCCATAAATTCTGCCACCACCACCGTTCTGAGAATCCAGGGCCTTTTCTGCCTCTGAGTCAGGATGGAATGAACTCATCACATTCCAAGAGGCCAGATGAGGTACCAAAAATGACAGGAGAGCAAGTCTAGAAAGGTCCAGCAAGAATAAAGGAGCGGATGGGCCATACCCCGTACCACAAGATAGCAGAATGCACTGGGCTAGATGGATGTCCCCTTCTCCTGAAAGAACGTACTGATCGCACCTGCACTGAAACTCTGGCCTCCCTACCTCTCCCTTCACTCTGTCTCCCTGGATCTTGGGCTGACCCTCCTCCCTTCAGGTAGCCATGGAGAGTCCCTGGAAAGAGTAACGTCTTCAGGTTGGTCAGCTTCTGGCTCAAGGATGAAGCTATTTCCTTTTATGTGGGAGTCTTTGCTCTGACAAGAGGTATGGGGTCTCAGTGATTCCTTCAGAAGGGAATTTTCATCCCAAGTTCCCTTCTCCTGGACAGAGGGTCTTTAACCTGGCCTGCCTAGGCGCTCACAGCTCCGTCTCTCAACAGTAACTCACACTCAGCTGCAGGGCCTTCTGTAGATGTTGTAACCAAGGTCCTGTGGCTCTAAGGGCTGGCAGGAGCTAGAGAACCCTAATGTCCAGCAAGGTGGCAGGATCCAAAGGTCTGCAGGGCACCCAGAGAACCTGAAGATAAGCAGATCCCATGGTGAGAGTCATCCACTCATCCCTCCCCAAACACTGCCTGGGGCCTCAGGGGGAAAAGCCTGCAGAGGCTGTACAGGAGACATAGCTGAGTGATGGCTCTGCTCTGGGACTGCAGCACGGGAAAATGCCACAAAGACCCTTGTGTCTGAGTCACTCCCTGAGCCAAGGAATGACTCAGATACAAGTTTGAAGCCAAGCACTTCCTCTGACTAACTGAGAGAATCTGGGCTAGACACTTTACCTCTCTAGGCCTGTTTCCTCATCTGTGAAAACAGAAAGAGGCTGTCAAACAGACTTGAAAACCAGAAAACCTCGGTTCAAATGCAGGCGCTGCCATTTACTGATGTGTGATGTTGAATGAGTTACTTAGTCTCTCTGTGTCTCAATATCCCCATCATTTATTTATTATTTTACCCTCCTTTGATTTTTAATGGAGAAAGACATTTTCCCCATCTATTTATTGGTCATTTGCATTTCTTTTGTAAACAATCTGTTTATGCACTTATGATTTTCCTGAGTTATTTGCAAAAATTAATTTATAAGTGCTCTTTATATATTGAGGCTATTAATCCTTTGTCATATTTGTTATAAACATGTTTTTATAGATAACATTTGTCCTTATTTGTCATTTGTCCTTAAACTTGGGTTTATTAGTTTCCAAATACCAAACAAGTTTTATTGGTTATTTTTAATAGTCTACTTGTTGATTGTTTTCCCCTTATAGTTTCTGCTTCTGGTAGTATTTTCAGTAAAAGTCTTTTCCACAAGATTATTAAAATGGTCTTTTTGGCTTACAAGATTGGTAAAGGGCCGGGCGCGGTGGCTCAAGCCTGTAATCCCAGCACTTTGGGAGGCCGAGACGGGCGGATCACGAGGTCAGGAGATGGAGACCATCCTGGCTAACCCGGTGAAACCCCGTCTCTACTAAAAAATACAAAAAACTAGCCGGGCGAGGTGGCGGGCACCTGTAGTCCCAGCTACTCGGGAGGCTGAGGCAGGAGAATGGCGTGAACTCGGGAGGCGGAGCTTGCAATGAGCTGAGATCTGGCCACTGCACTCCAGCCTGGGTGACAGAGCAAGACTCCGTCTCAAAAAAAAAGAAAAAAGATTGGTAAAGATGGAAATCATATCTCTTACACTGCTGGTAGGAGGGTAGGATATTACAGCTTTCTGAAGGGAATTTATATCAGAATTTTTTTTTTTTTTCTCTGTCGCCCAGGCTGGAGTGCAGTGGTGAGATCTGGGATCACTGCAAGCTCCACCTCCTGGGTTCACACCATTCTCCTGCCTCAGCCTCCCCAGTAGCTGGGACTACAGGTGCCTGCCAGCACGCCTGGCTAATTTTTTTGTATTTTTAGTAGAGACGGGGTTTCACCACGTTAGTCAGGATGGTCTCAATCTCCTGACCTTGTGATCTACCCACCTTGGCCTCCCAAAGTGCTGGGATTACAGGCGTGAGCCACCACGCCCGGCCCTATCAGAATTTTTAGAGTGCACACTCATTAAACCACTCTTCAACATCCAATAATGTGTCTCTAGGAACTAATTCGTCTCACTAAAAGAAAAGATAAAGGTACAAGGATGTTCATCTCACCTTTGCTTACAAAAGTAAAACAACTGGAAGCAATCAAAATGTACCAACAATAATTTATTTATTTTTTCATTTATCTATTTCTTTATTTGAGATAGCCTGGAGTACAGTGGCATGATCATGGCTTGCTGCAGCCTCAAACTCCTGGGCTCAGGTGATCCTCCCACCTCAGCATCCAAGTAGGAGGGACTATAGATGTGCACCGGCGCACCTGGCTAATTTTTTTTTTTTTTTCTTTTGTAGAGACAGCGTTTCGCCATGTTTCCCAGGCTGGTCTTGGACTCCTGGACTCAAGCAATCCACCCACCCTGGCCTCCCAAAGTGCTGGGATTATAGGTGTGAGCCTATAATCCCACACCCAGCCTGTCCCAGCAATTAAAAGATTGGCGGGCTGATATTGGTGAGCCACAGAATGGAACACAACGCAGGCATTAGAAATAGTAGTGGAGGCCGGGCGCGGTGGCTCACGCCTTGTAATCCCAGCACTTTGGGAGGCCAAGGCAGGCAGATCAACTGAGGTCAGGAATTCGAGACTAGCCTGGCCAACATAGCAAAACCCCGTCTCTACTAAAAACAGAAAAAATTAGCTGGGCGTGGTGGGAGGCGCCTGTAATCCCAGCTACACGGGAGGCTGAGACGGAGAATCAGTTGAACCCAGGAGGCAGAGGTTGCAGTGAGCCGAGATTGCACCACTGCACTCCAGCCTGGGTGACAGAGTGACACTCCACCTCAGGAAAAAAAAAAAAAAAAAAGAAATAGTAATGGAGTGGTGTACTCTGACTTGGAACTACATTTGTGATGTATTTTGAAGCAGGAAATACAAGTCATAACATACAATGTGAAGCATAATTCTATTTTTTTAATTATGTAAGTCCAAATCTATGAAAATATTAACAGTTGCTTTCTCTGAGTGAGGGGATTGAAAGGAATTTACATTGCATTTTTGAAGTGTTCATTTTCTAACTTTTCCAATAGCATCATAATTATATATTTATTTAGATAATAGCAATAATAACAATAATAAAATTTACAATAATGACCAATCAAAACAAGCATGGTCTTACATAGGAAGAACAAATAAAACTATGACACATCATAGAAACTGACAGAAATAGAAAAGAAAAAAAAAAAGCCTAGCTTGTATTTATTGAGCCCTGATCTCAGCTTAGGCACTGTGCAGGTTATTTCCTCAAATTGACTCATTTATTCCTCACACTGCCCTCTAAACCAAGGCCTACTCCGTTTCTAGATAAAGACATAGTACCTGAGAGAGCTGAAGAACTAGCACACAGCAGCACTGAGATATATCACCCAACTAGCCTGGCTGTGGTGCTTCGGTTTATAACTTCTTAGTCTTGCTGCCTCTCAGAGACAGATTTGCCTTCTAAAAGAGCAATGCAACATTTGATGTGCTTTTTTTTTTTTTTTCTAGACAGAGTTTCTCTCTTGTTGCCCACACTGGAGTGTAGTGGTGCGATCTCAGCCCACTGCAACCTCCACCTCCTGCGTTCAAGGGATTCTCCTGCCTCAGCCTCCCAAGTAGCTGGGATTACAGGCACCTCCAGCTGTAGATTACTAAAATCACCTCCAGCTGTAGATACAGACTAAAATATTAAGGCAGGAAACAGTAACTGGATACATATGGTAAAACTATGATGAATATTTTCTTCAATTTCCTTCAACAACAAGGAAAAATTAGTGAGTAATTTTCCTTTTTTATTTAAAAACGGATTTTTTCCTACTGGGGATGCCCATCTGAACACAGAGCCAAGTGTGGCAGACAAAAGCAGCACCACCTATCCTGATTAATAAGGAAATGTGAAAAAGGTCCCTTCCTCCCTCAGCCCCAATTCCTCCCTAAAACTGAGCAACTATGGAGAGAATCCGCGTGAAGATGAAATCAATCATTATCTTTCTTGGTAAAGAGTCAATCTTAGGCTGGGCACGGTGGCTCATGCCTGTAATCCCAGCATTTTGGGAGGCCGAGGTGGGCAGATCGCTTGAGGCCAGGAGTTCAAGACCAACCTGGCCAACATGGTAAAACCCCATCTCTACTAAAAATACAAAAATTAGCTGGGTATGGTGGTACACACCTGTAGTCCCAGCTACACAGGAGGCTGAGGAAGGAGAATTGCTTGGACCTGGGAAGGAGAGGTTACAGTGAGCTGAGATCGTACCACTGTACTCCAGTGTGGGTGACAGAGCAAGAATCCAAATTAAAGAGAAAAAAAAAAAAGTCAATCTTGGAAAGCAGTATTGCCCTGCAGTCAGTCACTCTTCTAACAGCATGGCAGCCATCTGATGGGCACCATCTCAGCATTGTGACATGATTGTGACTTACATACCCTTATCATCAGTCCCTAACAGTTGAACTCAAAAGTCATATTTTGCCATATAGATACCATCATCTGGATGCTCTCAGTCACAAACTTAAAACTAGATCATAGGCCAGGCACAGTGGCTTACACTTGTAATCCCAGCACTTGGGAGGCTGGGGTGGGTGGATCACCTGAGGTCAGGAGTTTAAGACCAGCCTGACCAACATGGTGAAACCCCATCTCTATTAAAAATGTAAAAATTAGCCGGGCATGGTGGCGCACGCCTTTAGTCCCAGCTACTCGGGAGGCTGAGGCAGGAGAATCACCTGAATGCGGGGGGCAGAGGTTGCAGTGAGCCAAGATCGCGCCATTGTACTCCAGCCTGGGGAAGAAGTGGAAAACTCTTGTCTCAAAAAAAAAAAAAAAAAATTAAAAAAAAACTAGATCATAGGTCTTTCATTGCCACCCATTGTGGTTTCACAAAAGTGAACTCAGTATCTTCTCCCTTAACTTATTCTTCCTCTTAGGTTGTAGCCTCTGTCTCCTGAAGCTGTATGTTTGAAAGCTTTGTTTAGCACATTACCTCTTATTACTTATTTTTCATAAATGTCCTAGATATTCTCAAATGTTTCATCTTCAACATAAACTGTAGAATTATTCTGTTATAATTTGGGGCAAAGAGAATACTGACAATTCTGAAAATTGTTGAGCCTTCCAATCCAAGAACAAGGCTTCAATATTTACTCAAGACTCTCTATATATCTCAAAATGTAATGTTTTATGCTTTCACATAGGTACTCCAATTTTCTTTTCTTATCTGTTACTGGACAGTCGACTGTGTTTTCAGCTACCATTCTAAATGGCATATTTTCATCCTTTTAATTACTGACTGCAATAAAAAAAAGTCATCAATCCATTTTCCTACAGTCATTTTAAACCAGCCACCTTACTGAACTTCCTTAATAACTATAATGGTTAACCTTCCAGAGCTTTGGGAATAGGCAGTTATTTCATCCACAAATACAGTTTTTTCTTGTGTTGTTCAGTACTTCTGTTTCTTATTTCATTTC